ATTTATAACTTTCCAAAATCAATGTTCTAATCACCCTTTTGCTGCTTATTTCTGAATAATTTTTTTTTATTTAAGTTCTTAAACTTACATGAAATTTCCTTCACTGAGGATTGAAGAACAATCACCCAGTGTGATGAAACCTGTCTTTCTGAAGGTTCTTAATATCCCAAAAGCAATTTACAAGCCATTTCCAGAAGAAGTGATGGAAGCGGGTGAACCCAGTCTCCCTTTGAAGACTCTCAACCATGGTTTGGGCAAAGCTGATTGTCCCGGCCTTCAAAGCTCTAAAACTTGCTGGAGACTGCTGCTGTATGTTCTTGTCATGGGGACCATCTGTATGGAGCACTATGGGCAATCCTAAGTACTCCCCTTTATCCAGGGAGGAATTTTGAGGTGCCAATCAGTTCATCAGCTCCTTGTTCTGCCACAGTCATTGGCTCCACTAAAAGTAAAGCCTTCTTCAGTCTGCCATTGCTTACCCAGAAGTCCAACCATCCTACATAATTTGATAAACTTGGGCACCCTACTGTTCACCTCTAATTCCAAAGAATTTATGAAAATGCACTAATGTAATGTAGCTGCTGAGTGCCCCCACCAACACCTTGCAGGTTACAGCCCTTTTCTGTGAAAACTGACCAGTTTTTCCTACATTCTGCTTCCTGTTCTTTGGTTGATTACTTATTAAAAGTTTAGCAAAATCATGTTTGTTTTGCATTTCATATTTGTCTTTCTCAGGCTTATCCCAGTATAAAAGGAATCAGATTGCAGAACTTACTGCAAATGATTGTCCTGGTGTCCCTTTAAACAACATTAAACCTTCTCCCAGCATCCAACATTCTAAGAGTCAACTCAATAAGACTCCTCTTATGGTTATTCCTAAAACATGCAGAGGTAAGGTGTGGAATTCAACAGAATAATATAAGAAAATGTCCAGTGATATTTGGAATGATATCATAGCTATTGGAATTGATATTCATTTATGCATTAAGCTACAAGACTGACATTAATAAAAACACAAAGAAAACTTGGAACTGTGCTATTCCATTCTTACTGTAATCTGGAGAAGAAGCTGCTGTAGGTAGCTTTTTAGCTGAATTTGTTTTCACAAGAGAACCTGACCAAGTGGGTTTCGCTACAGAAGGTGTGAGAAATGAAGAAGCTCGTGGCATCAAGATATTTCCTATTTGGAGAAAAAAGGGAATTTAAATATCTAACTGGAATCTACACAGGCTTGATTTAAAATAAACACTATAAATGAATAAAAATTAATCAAGAGGATTACTTAAAATAGAAACGTTCCTTTTGAGTAATTTTACACAAATAGAGGCAGCTATGAATTCTCACCCAGATATCAATTCTCGAATATAAGTGATTAAGGTATCAATGTATTTATTAAGACATTTCTAGTGTTCCATATCTATATAATTTGTAGTTTATTTTCCATTGATTATCATATGCTATTGTATGAAATGAAAAGGTTAAACAAAGTAAGCATGATTCAGCTGATCTACAGTATATAAAATAGATTTATGCCCATTGTGGGGGGGGGGAACTGAAACAAATAGGCCAAAATGCACTTTACAAGGCACAGCTATGTACTGATATTGTCTGCCCACATTTAATGTAATTACTTGACTGAAATGTCCTCTCTTATGGTGCGCTTGAATCTGTATGCTCACATCCCCATTCTGAAGGATTTAGTAACATGTAAATATTTCTGTAAAATCTCTCATTGAGTTCCTATTTGCTCCTCCAACACAAACTCCTTGGCTAGCCCACAATATCTCTATTATTCTCCCCTATGTACTTGTCTAGGTCCACCACCCTCTCTACACATTTTCAATCCCATTAAGGGACCTTTTCCAGTTGCTACCTGTAATGGCATGATATCTACCTCTTTTTTCTCTAACACCTACCTTTTCCATGAAACCTGTAACAAAATTCCTAACCCACATACAGTAATTTACTGTAGCCTTCTCAAGCCTGATGTCAAGTAGATAGTATGCTCCCAACAAAGATCTGTAATCTCTAAACAGTGTGGTAACATTGACTGGTAATTTTGAGTCCAATTTATTTGGTTCCTGGTTCACCATGATATTCTTTTTGTTTAAAATAATTTTATTAAGAATTATATTAAACAGGTAAAACTAGTAAAGGAACCTAATACAAAACTACATAAAAAGAAAAAAGAAAAGAAAAAATATTGCAGAAGTGCAGGGAAAAAAATCCCCCCCCCCGCCAAAAAGAAAGAAGGAAAAAGAAACTTCCCCCTTCATCCCCAGCAAGTATATTCAACATAAACAACTTATTACTATCTCTTCAAATACAACCAAATGCATCTTCATTCCATACCTCGGACCATTCTCTATAAACTCATCTCTAAATCTTCAGCTCTGCTTATTAATCAGCAAAGGTCCAGTAAAAATTAACAGAAATACCTAACAACATAAGTATATCGTCTCCTTTCCATTTAATCAAAATCCCTCTAATCCCTCTCTTTAGTAATCAAAATTAACAATTAAATATTACAAAAAAAGAAAGACAATTAAACATAGTAACCCCTTATTTACATATCAAAAATAATAATGTAGATATTGCAAACTAATCCATTACACTCAGTTAACCATTTCCAAAAAGAACTATCCAGTCAAGATAACCATTAAGCATCACCAGAGATAGCAACTC